GCTGTGAGAAGTTATCTGGAAATGAACCAGCGGGTGGGACTGCTTACGGAGCGGCTGGATGTTATAGCTGATCTACTTGCTGTTCTCAAGGATCAGTCAAGTCATAGACATGGGGAGTACCTTGAATGGATCGGTATGTTCTCCCATTGTTACTGTTCATTAGGTAGGGATGCTAACGTAACAAAAAAAAAATAGTTATCGTTCTAATTGGTGCCGAAATCCTCATCGCAGCGATAAATATCGTTGTCGACCTCTACGCTGGCTTAGATTAGCTGCCTAATCCTTGGCCTTTGTCTACAAGAGCTATCTGCTTACGGCTCGCTCTGAGGTAGGCTCTGAAAAAGCCGAATTATCTACTTTGTGATTAATATAGAGATACCAGTTGTTTCCGTCGCAAGATTCCCCGATGAGTTGGCGTTTTGATTTGCTTTGCTTTGCTCTGCCTTCCTCCTCTTTTCCTCCTTGAGCAAGAATGTGTCACTACCTCTTCTTTATCTCTTTAATGTTCTCCTGTTGATGTCTTTTCTCTATCGTGTCTATCTCCGTGTCTATCTCCTTGCAGTGCCTTGGCCCCTTGTCTACGTCATACATAACGCGTTAGGGTTGTAAATAAGCGATTTAGAGGTATGTGCATATACGGGTGCCACCAGCCTCGACCTCTACCTACTTACTCTCTATCCATCGCTTCTTCCTATACACTCTTTTGTCTCTCGCCTCCCCTTGTAAATACTGATATCAGGTCCTGACATCTACTCTCTCTCCCATATCCCACAGAAGCAACGACAACCTCGGTAGGATCAGCTTAGTCATCGTATCTGGAAAAATAATAATCCTCTCCGCAGTAATACGCTGACTAAGCATCCAATTATCGCGCCTTTTTAATGTCAAGGAAAAACTTGATATATCAAAAAGTGTCAACAGACAGATATAAATCCCCGGAATCAATATGGAAAACAAGATGTACAGCATGCCCAAGTGCAAGGGAGCGGCTCTCCTGATCCGCAAACAGCGATCCAAAGCTCACTGGCACCATCCGCTGTAACGTTGCCCTCTCCGGCAGTCCCAATGGCAATCCTCTCTCTTGTCTCATCAAGTAGCGGCATCGCATCGAGCAATGCCCCCCCTTTTGAGGGACCCATGGGCTACTCTTTTTTTTTTACCCTTTCCCGCTGGAGGGATCTTGTTCCAAAAAAAGCAGCTCGAGGAGAGACAAATCTTAAGGGATTCGACTGGCGTTTGTCTCGGATTAAGCTTGGTGCAGCCAATGGGAGTCTGGAGCTAGCCGGCAAAACTCAGCGTACCCTCGTATTCACTTGGATCTGGGGTCCCTTGATCTTTGACGATTCGATCGTTGAGGGAGGAGGGAGGAAGAAGAGCATTATTTGCCGTCAAAGTCCACCGTCTTTGCCTGGCTCCAGTGACGTGGCGCTGAGCTCGCGAGCACTTCGCATTATCTAACAGATTGTCTTACTTCTTAAGCTTTTGGCGCTTGCAATGCAACCTGAAAATAGAATGAATGACAAGAAACGTTCGCTCTAGTGTTGATACACTCGCTTGCTGGTAAAGTGAGATGGAAGTGAGTTCGGCGGCGTATATAAAGGGACAAGGGACTCGCCTCTGGGCCCTTGATATCCTCCTTCACCGCCGCAAACAACCTCCAATTCTCTCGCTACCAACAGGACGAATATCAAACCAGAACACTCGTTTACTTTTCTATACTTGATACCACCAAAATTCTTTACGATGCATTTCTCTAGCTGTGTGCTCGTCTCGGCTTTGGCCATGGTTGCCAATGTTGCTACCGCCTCTCCTCCACCGCTCCAGCAGCTGAGCCGTCCCGCCCTCAAGGACTCGACCATCTTCCGCTCTACTGTCTATTGCGCTGATTGCCCCGAGGGAAACTGCTACAAGTGCACTCTCGGCCATAACAACACCCTCATCGCCAACACCGGCGGCATGGCATACCTCCGCGCTCTTGTGGGTTTCCAGCTCCCCGTTCCAGCCAAGAAGGTCAAGAAGTGCACCGTTCAGTTCCCCGCCTTCGTCAAGTTGATGGAAGCCCCTATCAATATCACTGTCTCAGAAGCCAAGTCCAACGACTGGGACGAGGACACCGTCACTGGGGAGAACGCTCCCGAGACCGGTGAACCTTTCAGCACCTCCCAAGTCCCGGCTCTGACCAACCCACCTGCTCTCGATGCCACCGAGGCCTGCAAGAATGCTGCTGAGAACGGCGACTTCTCCATCTACGTTGGCGCTCAGTTCGGTCGTTTCGAGATCTGGTCCAAGGATTCTGGCAACCCAGCCATTCTTCACACTTACTACAAGTGATTTCTTTCAAGCTTTTCTTCGTGGTTACCTTCAATAACACCACCACCATTGTACTTTCCTTTCCTTCCTTTATGACTGTACATAACGACATGGCTTGAGCGTTGGGGACTACCACGGACAAACACGGAGTTAGAGAGTCGCTAGCAAGCTTGCATTAATCGATAATAATCTACAACCTGAATTCAAGATACGTTTATCATGCAAGTCATTCATCTCATATGGCCCTTTCTCTTCCATATCTTCCTCCGACTGTTTGGAAGAAAGGGGTAAATAAGTTTTTCGCGTGGCAACGGCGGCTACCAAATAAATATTTTGCTCAAACGCTTCCACCCCAAAGTCAATGATGTCAAAACAAAAACCGTGAAAATTGCCACTGGTGTTTCTGCCTATAAAAATACTTTCAGTACTGCAGACCCCCAAGATGCTACTATTTTTACAGCTAACACGTGTTTAACAGCGTACGAACTAGGTAACGACAATCGCTGCTAATATCAACGTGGCTAAGCTGCAAGATGGTCGGCATCAGGCGGGAGAACTCCCGGCCTGGAGATCCAAACTTTATCAAAAGTAAGTATTTTTGCGCAAGTAGTCATAATACCTGCTAACTATCAGTGTAGGTACAAAAGAACTCCCCAGTATTGAAGCATGGTTTGCGCAAAAGGAGAAGTTCCGCGCAGTCGGTCATGGATTTCCGATGGGGATGCCCCAGATGCAGAACTGCAGCCCCGAGCTTGACCAGCTATTTCAGGAGACACTAAAGCCGAAGATCACGAGCATACTGGGTAAATTCAGTATTGACTACTCATCTATTCGTCTGGATGACTGGCGCTCAAAGGGGACCGGCGAGGTGCAGCACACGATCCTAGTGTCTTCGGATGATACCAACACAACCAAGTGGAAAACAGCAGCAGAGGAAATACTTAGAGTATTTCGCCATGAGCTGCCTCTCGACTTCACCGGAGATGCCCAAGTAGAATTACAGAACAAGCAGCTCATGAATACTGACGTCTCTCGCGCCCTGCCTAATGAACCTGCCCTTATTAAGTGTCTTGAAGATACCAGGGAGGAGATCATGGAGACGGTCATGGACAGTTTGAAGGACTGCTGGTCGTCGATAGGATATCATATGCGGGTTCCCCTTGGGTCTTCTCTAGATATGCAAGGATGTGCTACTGTAATGGTATATTGCCGTTTTGGAAGCCGTGGTGATTTTAAAACGGCAGAGGATCGCATCCTGAAAGTCCTAGACAAATCCCCCATGGATATCCACGTGGAAATCGCCCCGGGAGAGGTATTCCTTGCCCGAAATGCTGACGGACCCAGGTTTCTTTCCGATATACCTGCCTCTCCTATTAACGGTGCGTCTATCAGTGTTCGGGGCAACAACACAGAACCCGGCTCACTCGGTGGATGGGTATGGCTCCACATACCCCGTAGAGATATGCGTGTACGCTGCGTCTTGACCTGCTACCACGTCGTCAGATCTCCAAATGAAACTATTGCAGCTCACACAGACGTTCACGGTGTCGTCCCTGACGATCGTCGGGGTCATATTGTGGCTGAATACCCTGCATCATGCGACGGACAACACACGCTAGACATCCTCGCCAGCCTCCCGAAGCATAAAGCTAATTCACTTGAAGTGCGCTCTCAATATAGAGACCTCTACAATCGCATGATCAACCCAGCCATAGGAAAAGTCACTCTTGCGTCTGGAAATCGGATAAGCGACAACTCCAGAGTGGACTGGGCTTTGATTACTTCCCCTTCCACGTTCAGACCGAATAAGCTTCCACCCAGCCCCAGCAAACAGGATACCTTCAGTCTTTCTCTCTGTGGAGCTTTTGCAATGAACCCTGACAGTTGGGTGATGAGCTTTGGGGACGTAGAGCTTGGAGACTGGGTATCTAAATACGGACGTACATCGGGCACCACCTATGGCAAGATCAACCACCTGCGTCGGGAGGTCAGGTGGCCCTCTGGTGAGCGGACATATGAGATGGAAGTTATTTCGTCGAACGGCGAATTTTCACGGCCGGGGGATTCAGGTTCGATGGTGGTTAATTCTAGGGGTGAATTCGTTGGCCTGGTTTTGGCCACGGATAGCTCAACCCCGTTTGGAGTCACTTATATTACCCCCATCAGCCATATACTCAGGGATATCAATAAGATGACTGATGGCGGTTTTCTGACCTTGAGACCTGATGACTATGGCTGGTTTACTAGTGTATAAATCCTGGTTTTTGGCGTTTACCGTATAGTTATGTGGCTCATGCTAAGGCCGTTTTGAGGGTGTTTGGATGGAACATTTTATGATTGATTCCATGAGCGAAGACAACTGATACAGAATGAGCATTTGTATATCCGCACAGAAGGTGTTGGGAGGTAAAACCATTATATATATTATACAGCCTCAATGATACACCAAATAATACTGTTGGTCAAATACGCTTGCAGCAAACGCTTTGTAGAAACAAATCAAGCAAAGGGTAATAATGATTAGCAACTGCAGTGCTAAGTTCCTATTAACAGTAGATAGAAAAGGGAAGAAAACATAGAAAAGGTATCCCAAGAATGTAGTATGTACAGATCCAGTTCGTCACGCCGTATATTGTCCAGAAGTATCAGAAGAAAAGAAAAAAAAAAGAAGGTTATTTGGTGCTGCCGGGTTAAACGGCATCGTGCACACTGTTCGAAGGGTTGAGCTCTAGATAGCTGTGTCGCTTTGAAGAGGTAGATACTGAGACCTTGTGGCTATGGGTTGAGTTAGGCCAGGAGTATTGCTTTGAAGAGGCATCGGAGCTGCCGCCCTTTTCGAGCTTTCGGCTGTTGGAAGTAGAGAATAGCCCCTTGATCGAGGATGCGATGGACTTGGGCAAGTGGCGGTCAAGGAATGCAGGGAGGAGCAATAAACATCCACAGAAGATTCCAACGTTGGCTTCGATGACACTGTATAACTGTCAGACAGGGATGGACACTTATGGTGCAAGAAGAAGGTATGACTTACGCCCAGACAGCCAGCCGAGAAATATTCCACGTAGCATCAGGATTGCTTTGCAGAATAGGGGTTTCCGCGAGTCGAACCAAACTAGCAGCTACAGCACTGTAGGGTATATGTTAGATTGGTGGTAAACGTTGAATAGCCGTTGGAGGGTATACGTACAAAATACCCAGGCCGAATACGCCGAGAAGCTTGATTTTGCGGCGTAGTTTCATATGCAGGTTCCAGACTGGGTATATTGGCAGGATAAGCACATATAAGTCGGTTGTTGAGCTGAGGGCACCGGATAGATATGGAAGAATGGTGGGATTGATGCATCTGCCGGGGATGGCAATGTTCCATGCGCGTGCAACGGGGGAACACGAGAAGATGGTTGCAAAGAGGATTGCAACGTGGGTAACAGCCACGAAGACGATGCCGAAGGTGATCAGAATGTTTGATAGCGTCTGGGGTGAGAAGACACGTCGGTAGAAGAAAAGGAATGTGAGCTTGATCGTTGCGGTCAGGATCAAGTAGACGTATTGCGCAAAGGTGAACCACTGCTTTATGTTAGAAAGAGCTCGTTCGTCATGCCGATAGGGGTATAACTATATCATACTTTCAAAGCATATGGAACCCAGAGTGGTGGAGTATCCCATAAATGCCGCCCAATGCCCAGAGTATATGCTTGAAATGTATCAGCAAATATAATCTTTTTCAACGAGACGGCTTCCGGACTTACATTTTATCATCAACCCGGAGAATGCGACAGTCAACACCTGTATTCATGTTTTAGTCTTGAAGTCAAGGAGGGTATTTGGATATGGCCGCCTACAAATGAAGCCAGACAGAAATCTATAGAAGCATATGTTAGTTTTATGTCCCGAATATGTAGATATAGATTCACGCACAGTCATCTGCCCCCATCTTTGTACGGGTGACGATTGTACGGGTGTAAACCCGCATGGCAGCCGCCGCAGTAGCCAGAGTGAGGCATACTGTATGAAGGGCGATATTGCCGGAGCGCTGGCTCGGAGGGTCGATGATATTAGGCGTGACACCTGGAGGAGGAGGGATAGCTCCAAGCCACTGGGTCGCCATGGTATGTCTTCGATTGCCTCGAAGCTCAGTCTGATACCCTTCTAGGCGTCGAGGTTGGCTGGAAGGACAGAGCTGAGTCTTGTAGGATGAGCAGACAGAGGAAGGCCGGCTAGATGAAGAGGAGGGAAACCGAGACCAGACTCGGCGAGGAAAGATAATATACGTGCGCTTGAGGCTTCGTCCTCCTGCAGGTCATATCATGCCGGGGGGGAAGAGAATGATAAGCTACTGGAGGGAGGGCCATCCCAGCCAGCACCTCATCTCCCCTGGTCCGCTGGCTGGTCTCATGCATAGATTCTGTCCTCCCCCCCCAAGCTCATCGTCGCCTCCCTGTGTAAAGACTGGCCCGGACGAAGCAAAGCAACGCCTCTTAGGGTTCCTCTGGTTCGTCGGACCGAGCAAAAGCGCCCTTTGGCTGCAGCACAGTATCCCAAGAAGCTCGTCTGACTGACAACTGGTCTGGGGACCCTGGCCTGAAGAATCCTTCCAGCAATTCTCCAGCCGTCTGCCACCCTCGATTCCCTCAATCAGGTCGTTCGCTGTCCTCACGGAACATGCAAGCACCTTCAAGTGGAGTTCTCCAGCTGGGACGCAGCTCGTATCCCAGCAGCCGTGGTTTGCTGGGGCCATAATTTCCTTTTGCCAGCCTTGGGCCACCAGCCTAAAGGTTGATTTATTTGGATGCACATCAGGGACTCTGCAGATCGGCAGACGCAGAGCGAGGGCCAGCGTGTGCCCTCCCAGAGAGACCAGGCAGCTCCATCGAGTGAGTTACACCAAGGACGAGGCCGGTCGAAGCTGATATCACATCCTCATTCGTGGCCGGCAACTAACTTGTGAGCTTAAGGCCAGAAGGCTGCAACCCTCTCGCCCGCCAGCCGATCGTGGGGTCTCCAACCGTGCTAGATATCGAGTCAAGAGAGATCTCTCGATGGCCACCAGGTTCTCTGTACGGAGTATGTAGGCGTTGGGTATCTAGATGTTGGTTAGCCAGCGCACCGCCAGAGGAGTCAGCGGTTGTGATACCAACGTCGTTCCACGAACCAGGGATAACAACATCCGTTAAGTAGTCAGCCCAGAGCCCGTAGCCACCGGCCATCCATGCGCCGGCCAGGATCGAAGCCGATGCAGGGCATCCATTATTACGGCCTCGCCCTCATCCCTTGCGAAGATTCAAAAAAAAAAGGCCCGTCCGGAGTCGTGGGATCCGGAGCGCGAAGACGCAAAGGCTGCAAGCCTGCCCGGGACCGACTCGGTAGTAAAAGAGCCAGACGAGGCCGCGAGCGCTCAACAAAAGGCCAGCAGCAGCAGCAGCTTTCTCCGTCTCTGCTCGCTAACTAAATTAGTTTCTCCCGCGCGCTGCTCTTTGTGCGCGATTTGCTCTGGCTGCTCGAGATGGCCGTCTTCGAGACGCAGAGCCTCGTGGCGGCGGCAGCGGCTTTGCTGCTAGCGGTAGTTATCTACATCCGCCCATAGTTACATGTTATACTCATGCGAATACAACAGCTGGCTAACGTGGTGGTGATAGTATCCCGTCTGCAAGATCGTCTACAACCTGTACTTCCACCCGCTGGCGAAGATCCCCGGGCCGCGGGCGTGGGCAGCAACCCGTCTTCCCTACTGCCGAGCGCTCATTCAGGGGACGATAGTACACGACTTTGAGAAACTACACCAGATATACGGGCCGGTTGTGCGTACGGCGCCGGATGAGGTCACCTTTGCGCATGGAGATGCGTACAACGACATCTTCCGGGTCCGTCAGGGTCATAAACAGTTCCTCAAGGACCCCGTCTGGTGGGCGAGGCAGAAGGGCCAGCCGGACTCCATACTCAGCGCGATCAGGCCGGAAAACCATGCTCGGATTCGAAAGATACTGGCTCCCGGGTTCACTACTCGTGCGCTGAAGGCACAGGAGCCGCTGGTTCAGAAATACGTCAATCTTCTTATCCAGCGAATGCACGACAAGGCGAGCGAGGTCGAGGACGGCAAAAAGGGGGCCGAGTTTGATATCGGGCCCTGGTTCAACTTTACCACCTTTGATATCTTTGGAGAACTCGGCTTTGGAGAGTCGTTTGACTGCCTCGAGAATTCCCGGTACCATCCATGGATTGCGCTGCTTTTCAGCAGTGTCAAGGCGGCTGCATTTATATCTGCTGCCAAATTCTTCCCGCTGATCACCTTAATGCTCATGAAATGTATACCCGAGTCCCTCAAGAAGGTGCAGAGGGATCACTTCCAGCAGATTGTAGATAAGGTCGACCGGCGTCTCAGCTGGGAACTGGACCGTCCGGATTTCATGTCTCATGTTATCAAGTCCGACGGAACCACGAAGATGCCGATTGGGGAGATCTATGCCACCTTCATGGTGATGACTACTGCCGGAAGCGAGACGACTGCAACCACACTCAGTGGGACGATGAATCACCTTGTTTCCCAGCCGGACGCCCTTGCAAAGCTCACCAAGGAGGTTCGCAGTGCATTCCAGAGCGAGAGTGACATGACCCTGGATGCCCTCCATGACCTCCCGTACCTCGACGCCGTACTTCGGGAGGGCCTCCGAACCTGTCCACCCGTTCCATGGATGCTGCCCAGAGTTGTCCCGCGTGGAGGTGACACTGTCTGTGGAACCTGGTTACCCGAGGGTGTAAGTTCTTCTCTATTCCGTTC